AGTTGATATGCTGTGAGAATTAGCAGATTATACCATGAATTAAGAGATACATTCTAGTTTAGAAGCAGGACAACTGTGAGTTAACGTTCATATTTCAAACAAGTCAAGTCAAAGGTGGTAATAGAATAGTTTTATTTGAGATATACAGAGTTATTCATCTAGATCTGCAGAGGTGATAGGTTTTTTGTATGGAAGGGTGTCAGGCTGTATAGACAATCCGTCGCACAGCCTGGTCGGGCTATGAGTACACATGCGTCTAAACAGAGGAATTGCTCCGACCTGTGATTGGAGGGTAAAAATAGACCCCGCCAACTTGCCACATACACTATTATGCTACAGAGTGGCTATATGCCCGGCTGCCGGGCACGGTTTTCGATTTCCTAAATGCCCGGCAGTTTTTAATTTTCAGCGTTATCTCAAGTAAACAAGGGTTAGGGTTAGGAACTGCCGGGCATTTAGGAAATCGAAGACCGTTCCCGGCTGCCGGGCATATAGCCACAGCGATTATGCTATGACTGGTAGGAACGTGTACTAACTATAATATGAAGCAAACGATTTGAGTTTCATTTCTATAAATTCTAGCTGTTATAGACGCATGTCTTAGCCTTAATCTCTGTGGATTTTGAGTCTATTGAAGCACGATTAGTCTAATTAATTAGCAAATATGCACGCGGGGTATCGCTCATAGGCTAATACACGCGCTGCTATGATCGGTGAAACGAAACGTCACAAATTCTATTTTTATCTTCCAATCGCAGGTCGGAGCAATTCCTCTGTTTAGACGCATGTATAAGTACAACTACAAGGCAAAATTTAGCATTCTGTAGCCTAGGTCACTTATGGTGTAAAATAACAATCCCAAGCTACCCATCTATTCATATCTTTGTAGTGCCCCAGCAGTGACTTTTCTGTCATGTCTAATTTACATATTGATACTGTGGCTCTTGTAAGTTTGTTCATAAATATCATAACTGCATTGCATCAGTAGTCATTTTTAGCAAACGGTATTCTCGAGACATGTTTTAATCTTACATGAGCAGGAAGACTAACATAAATATTTCCAATAAACTTTTTGTGTTGTAACTTTAAGCGACAACCGTTTCTTGTACGGTCAACATCGTTCTTGATTTTCTTTTTGCAGTGGGACGCCAACTCATAGACTGTAACATAGCAACATGGCGACTGAGGATCATGTCGATGACAGCCACTTCGAGACCGGTGATGCAGGGGCTTCCAGAACGTACCCGATGCAGTGCTCTGCACTGCGCAAAAACGGGTTTGTTGTGCTGAAGGGACGCCCATGTAAGATCGTTGAAATGTCAACCTCCAAGACAGGCAAGCACGGCCACGCTAAGGTACAGACAATGATCAGTTGGTCAAAGTGTTTGTGATAAGAAAGCAAATTTTTGCAGCAATTTATGGGAGCAGTCATTGCTACCATACATTAATTTCACACGTAGTCTATATATTAATTAATCTGTGATGAGTAGCAACCATATATTAATAGGAGTTTAAAACACGGATGCAGCGTTCGCTAATACCGTCGGACCGCCAAACAATGCTGGTAAATTATGAGCAGGTTTGATGAAATTGTCGGTCATTAGTATCATAAGTATTATAGTGGGATGTCGTTTTTGTAGTGCGCACATCAATCAAGTTAAATCCTTCCGGCACCTATGTGGCGCATAAGGTGGTGCCTATCTCTGTTTTAGTAACCCTGAGGCCCTGCAGCTGCATTCACAGTAAATGCTACAGTAAGGCGTTAGTCCACTGGTAGCACTGCGGGTTAACTTGCCACACTATCTCTATTTGCTGAATGCTAAGCAGAGAAGCCTTGTTCAAGTCTTTGGTATGACCCGGCCGGGAGTAGAACCCCCGACCTTCCACATGCGAGGCGAGCACTCTACCATTGAGCCATCGCTGCGGCCCCACATCAATCAAGAGTGCATCGAATAATACAAACCAGCTTCAGTCTTTCACATGCTCAATACATTTTTGGTCTGGAGAAACATCTTTCGGTTCTATGAAAAATACAGCTTTACAGGACTTAATATCCTGGGGCCTGCTGTCAAAAGTTTTTTCATTGTAATGTTAAGGCTAATTAATGTTAATGCTAAGATGGCACGTACGACTAATGTTAAAGTAATAATCAGGGTTCTCCCTATGTTGCGCAAACGGGGCGCGCGCGCCCCGTTTGGGGAAACTCCCCCCCTGTTTGAATCGTTGCGCCCCGTTTGGGAAAACTCCCCCCTGTTTGAATCGTTGCGCCCCGTTTAAATTCCACCACAATAAAAGTTTCCCAGCGCAGGAATCGATCGTCAAGAATTGCCGTTTGACCAGGACATCCGGTGCGTGTATTTTTACCGTACCACGGTAAGACAGTACACAGTTAACCTGCCACTAACTGTAAACCGACTCGGCTATCTTATACATACAAGAACCCCAAATACCGTCTATGGTGTGGTGGCGATTTTACGCATTTAATTAGTCGTACGGATAAAAATTACACGCCCCCCGGACCCCCTAGTTTCCCCCTCTTCATCCCCCCGCCTCCCCCCCCCCCTACCCCTCCCCTCCCCCCTTTTGAATTTTATCTGGCGATGAACCATGTATGGTCCATTGATTATGCAATGCTTGATTGAATGCTAGGAGTAACTGGCACCTTGCTGTAGCTTAATAACTTTACATTACCTTTATAGTCAAACGCGTATTAGTTTTGTCCCAATATCACTGCTGCGTTAGGCCCAAACAAAAATATAGGTGTGGTTTACGCGTTTTCCCGAACCAACCCTATTTAGTCCAGCGACCCTAAACATTTTATCTGTAAATTTTCTTTAAAGTAAAAAAAAATAAAAAAAATAATGAAATTGTCAGTTCCTGCTTCAAAAAAAAGCACATACGCCACAGTTCCACCGGACATGGCTCGTAAATAAATATATTTCCAAGAAAATAAAATGTTTCCCCTACCTACCTACCCTATTTTTTTCGGCATGTAACGGTAACCACACATATATTTTGTTTTGGCCTTACTGAGAAATGTCTAATTAAAATCCGCAGTCCAAGAAATCAGTTGTACAGTTTCAAACCGCTGCCGGCGAAGCGGGTGTGATACAGATTTATAGTGCACCGGACATTTTCGCACGCATGCTCGGCCGTACGCAATGCTATCATCGGTGATTTCGTAAACACTGACGCTCGTGATAAGGAACTTTTTGTCAGGGCTGTCTGTGATTAGTACGTGTGTTTTACTCCATTTCCATGTTTAGTCCGTGGCCGTGGTTACACCGCTGACACCTCCATTTCATCTGGCGTTCAAAACATACGGGCCGCACAAATGTTTACGTTATCGGAAACTCATCGCTTGACTCCTGGATGACATTTACGGCACGTAAATGAATATCAACAACCGATTTTAAGTCTTGCTTGTAATGTAACCAGCAGTGATATTGGACAAACTAATACGCGTTAGGCTATAAGGTTACGTACTTATTAACTACACAAGGTGCCAGTTATGGCCCTGTCACACCTTGACGATTTAGCCAGCATATGCCGACGTATGGAAAATTTGGCGAATACGCTGGCGTACGTCGAATAAGTTATGGGTAAGTTTTGTATAAGTTAAGAGCACGCTGAAGCACGCTGGTATACGTCGTAGTACGGCGAGGTCGTCTAAAAAATTTGTACATGCACAAAATGTTCGACGTATGCCAGTGTATGCCCATACGTCCTGCATACGCGGGCCATAAGTTGTAGGTAGGTTATGCGATCGTTGACACACGTTCACACACGTTACTTGTAAGTTACTCATAAGTCGAAATACATCGAGATAATGTCTAGCGTACCCAAAACTTATTTCTAACCTATGAGTAACATGCTTTAAACCTATGTGTAACTTATATCGAACTTATCTCCAACGCATATTGACGTATGTAGACGTATTTGACGTGTTCCGGACGACCACAGAACTTACTGAACGTGTTTCTAACTTACAGCTACTGTAAACAAGAATGATGATATAAAGCCCCAAACTTGTGTTGTAACCGGCATAAACTTTAATAACGCATACACAGTGTCGTCACATCGCACAAAGAGACAAAGAACGCGCGTGTGCCTCCTTCCGCAACCAGAACCAGAATCTTCCCATCTCCTTCTCTATATTCCCCCAAAACTCCTACAAACCACATGCTCCATGCACATGTACCCGTTCTCACAGACCGCATCCTACCCCCCATTTCACAATGACGGTGAATGACCCTCTAATCTGTCTAACCTAACCACGTCTACCCTTCTCCCTAATACATCGCGACGCTATGTCTAGCTAGACTAGGGCTAAAACAACTACCAGTCTATAGCCTCGCTGACTACTTCATGTGACACGTGCAAAAGACATGTTACACTACCGTATAATGGCGTATTGGCAGCGTTTAGGGGAATTGGTATATAAAAATGGTATTGGGATGTTGATACTGCGGTTATGAATTGAATCGTCGAGTTGCAGCCTTTTTATAGGCTACGACACGTGATCGTCGGCGATACGCTGCGACGCGCTATGCATAAGTTAGACTATCGTTGGGCATAAGTTGTGAACGCCGGCAACACGCTAAGCATTCGTTGGTATAAGTTATCTATAAGTTATCGAAACGTTCTATATACGTTATGTATACGCCCAAAATTAAAAAAAACATCGATGGTTCAGCGTATGCCAGCGTTTTAGAGAAATTTTGATACGTCGGTATACGCTGGCTTTCATACGGTGGTGTGACAGCGCCATTACTCTAGCATTCGTCAACATTGCTGAATCAATGGGCCTATTATGCCTTTAATGTTACGAGAATAGCTTTGACAGAAACGCATCGCAGCTATGAGAAAACTTACGATAACAGGAACTTGGTCATTTAGTGTCACGAGGCTGCTGATTGAATCAGAATCTACCACAAAACTCAAATCCGTACACATTTATTTATGTATATTATGATGATTAACCACATATTATTTTGTTAAAAACGACACGTTCATAAATTTATTGTGCACAGCAACACGACGTGAGCATCATCACTCGTCAAAATATCTAATAATAATAATGGCTAATTTTAAGTCGTGCAAGCGGGCCACTGGTGTTGGCTATTAATGGTGTTTATGCATGTGGTGGCTTACTACGATTTAGTTGTTAATACAAAATAATAAAAGTTGACTATCCCAGTAAATTAAGCCGGCCGACTGGAATATTGGTTTTCCTGGAGGTGTGCAAATGCTGGGTACAGAATGATCAGGACCTGTATATAGGTACCATAATGTTGTGGTATCTAAAGGCATCTGTGACATGCATGTCTATCTGTTATGAAATGAAATGTGCATTAGTGCGAAATGTTGTGATATCTACAGGCATCCGTGACATGTATGTCTATCTGTTATAAAATAAAACGTGCTTTAGTGCGAAATGTTCTAGGTGTAGTGCACGTTTTTATTTAATTGAGGTTTGAGTTATATTACATTTTTGTTGCTTAATATTCACTTTAAAAAATGTACAAAGCAGGACCATTTCTCATCTATTAAATGATTAGAAAAGGGATTCCATTACTTTATATTTCACTATTAGTTTATTTGGCTTATGCATGTGTTTCTCATAAACAGAAAGTTTTCCACTTTTTTGTAAAATCAAATTCAGAAGCGCAACTATCAGTGGTAGCACAGGTCATGTGGTGTCATAGGACTACCCATGACATCATAGTCCCATGACATCGTGTTTTCAATGTCGAATAATAAAAGTCAATATATGATTGACGTATATAGGTGTATGCTGTTTTTGATGCAAAAAGTATAATAGTTTAATGGCAAATTCAAGGCTAATGTTTCTTTTAAAACTAGGAGTGAATCAGTGAATTCCTAATGGCAAAATGTCTTCTGGTGTAACTAAACTAATAATCTGAACATTCATGATTAGTTTCTCTGCCAATTGTAGGTGCACATGGTCGGCATTGATCTGTTCACCAATAAGAAACTGGAAGATATCTGTCCATCTACCCACAACATGGATGTTCCTAATGTGTCTCGTCGTGACTATCAGGTGGGTGACCTCATTTTTAGCTCATCTGACATAGTCAGATGCAGCTTGTAGAATCGCATGATTGTCCCTTGGGCGTGCGTTCCGTCCGTCCGTGCCGTGTCGTCCGTCGTCCGTCAACAGTTGGCACAAATCTAAACGGCTCGACGCTACGGATTCCGAACAGTCGCGACGTTAGCGGGGTGTAATCCGAAAACGAGTTTGGATTCGAAGCTGGGGGTCAAAGGTTCCAGAGTGTTGTAAAAGACAGGGGGAACATTTCGCCTCCTATACTTAAGGTATAGGAGGAGGACCAATGCAGAATTGCGCCACAAATCTAAATCGGCTCGACCTCAGGTTCTTCGTGATAGTCGCGTGTAATGGTAGGCAAAAGGCATCACTGCTGCCGACATTGGAGGTCACAGGTCAAAGGGCACGTGGAGGAAAGGTGCAGATATCAGACATTTTCTGATGGACGTGGCCTAACGGGACAGAGTCGCGAAAACTTTTTTGTTCAGCAAACTGACGTACATTTTTTGATAACTTTCGCACTGACGTGCGAAGAGTAAGTGTCTTGATAACCTTATTGACCCGTCAAGAGGAGGGTTAAACCATGGATCGCTGAACTGCCTG